GTGTATCCAGTGTAGCATCTTGTTCCATGCCATTCTTGTAGCCTGTCATTTTTAAATCTACTTTCAGATCAGTCTTGTCTGGTAAAACTTGTTCCTCTTTTGTAACATCTTTTAAACAGTCTATTTATAGAGGCAGACGCTCTTAAAATTAACTTCTGGGTCCATTGTTCAAAAACATCCTTCAATATATCCAGTCCTAAAATAGTTTGCTGCTTTCTGTATTAGTCACATTTAAGTTCCTTCTAGTTCCCTCTAGTGTCCAACCTTCAAAGTCCCATCCTATCATTTTTTATTTCTAGGAGAATTCAAGACAAAAATATTTTTCCATGGGAAGGATTCTTATAATTAATTTCAAAATCTTGTTTCAAATCCATCTAGACCCTTTGTCCATTTGTAACTTTCCAAAATCAAAGTTCTAATCACACTTTTGCTGTTTATTCCAAAATAATTTTTTATAAGTCCTTAAGCTTGTATTTAAAACTTCTTTTAGTTGCTAAAAGAACTAAAAGGATTGCTAAGGATTGAAAGAAACTCACCAGTGCTGTAAAACTTGTTAATCCAAAGGTTTCTAATAGCTGAAAAGCAGTTAACAAGCAATTTCCAAAAGTGATTAGAAAAGGAAGCATGTGAACTGAGTGTCCTTTTGAAGGCGCTGACTGTGGTTTGTACAAAAAGATGGCTATTCCCTCATCTCCCAGAGCTCTAAACCTGCCAGAAACTGCTGACTTGCAGTCCCCTCACAAGGAGTAACTGCATGGAACTGTGTCCAGAGAGGAATTATGAAGAGCTGGTCTACTCACTGGCTCTTCATTCCACCACGGTCATTGGCTCCTCTTTTAGCAGAGCCATCTTCAGTTTGTCATTTCTTCCCCAGAAGCGTATTCACATTTTACAAGTAAATGGTCCCATTGAACTGAAATGAGGCTTCTTTATGAGTAAACCTCAAATCAGACTGTAAGTGAGTTACTTTATCAGTCTATTTGGAGCTTGCAGGTCAGATAAACTGTTTTATAATCTTTCCATCAGCAGGTTCATTGTCATTGTCATCATCATCATTGTCATCATCATCAGTTC